ACTAATGTCTTTATTTAACCACAAATACTATGTAATTGAAGTGTTCCTAAATTCTAACATTGAACTTCTCTTATTTCCTCGTTTTTGGTCTGTTAAAATATTCCACTGAAAGTATTTTGTTCTATCTGTTCGATAAATATGACGCCTGTTTAACCTGCTAGAAATCCAGTAAGATCATTACTTCCCATGCTCTCTGCAGTGTTACCATAAGCACTATTATCAGTCCTGCCATGTTCACCCTGGTAATATACAGGACTTCCAGGACTTCTCTAGAGTCTCTCCCATCCTCTGGAACTCCTTACCCCAACCTGTCCGTCTATCTCCCACCTTGACTGCCTTTAGGAGTTCCCTAAAGACTCATCTCTTCAGGGAAGCCTATCCCACCTCAAGCTAACCGCTCAACCATCACATTGTCACATAATTCATTCCCACAGCTACCACAGCTACCTCATGTATCATTTCCCCCTCCTCTTTTAGATTGTAAGCCCTCAGGGGCAGGGCCCTCCTTACCATCTTCTCTTGAATTGTATTGTAGGAAGGTGTTCTGGAATCCTGTCCTAGGATGACAATGATGCTCCTCTATGCATACAGTATGGTGAGTGAACACTGTTGCCCTAGGACCGGTATGGTACTAGCAGAATCAACAGGTGAAAATAAAGGGGAAAAAACCCGAAGAATAAGAAAACGAATGCAGCCATCACATCTAAGGACTGGTGAGCTGCAATGTATTGCATTGTTTTCTTGGGTTTATATGCACTTTAATAAATAATGATTGCAAATTTAAGAGGAGATGATCTCTGGAAACTGCCCCATAAAAGGCAAAAGACTGGTCACCAGCATTGCCTGTGCTCTTCCTGCAGCTGGTTTCCCCCCCCCCCCAATGACTGACTTACAATGACTTGTTCTGCATAGGGTTGCCTCCTTTTCTTCAAGCAAAACCTGAACATTCTAGCGCCGTGTGGCAATTTGTTTTGGAGAATATACAGAAGAGAGCAAGGACAGACAACCAGAAAGAGAGCGAGGAGAGACAGCCAGGAGAGAGAGTGAGGAGAGACAGCCAGGAGAGAGAGCAAGGAGAGACAGCCAGGAGAGAGAGTGAGGAGAGACAGCCAGGAGAGAGAGCAAGGAGAGACAGCCAGGAGAGAGAGAGGTGCAGTGCCTTACATTTTACACCGCAGATATACAGCTATGAGGCTGGAGGCACAGGAGTGCCTAGGCACTCCCTCATACCAGGAAGTTCACTTGTATTTTTCAGGAGAAATTCTGGTGTTCTGTCAAAAATTCCAACTCCTCGAGATCTCCAATGACCTGACTTCTGGTTTAGTTATAAGTGAGAGATTTGGCCAAGAAGGCTCTACTGCATGAGCACCACCCGCGGCATTTCCCTATACACATACATCACAGCAATAAAGTATTCAAATGAACTAGGGTCAGACTAATCCAGCACGTTATTCATCTGAGTAGCCCCACTCAATATGGCCGCCGCTTGAGTGGAGCAACTCAGATGAATAACGTGCTGGATTAGTCTGACCCTAGTTCATTTGAATACTTTATTGCAGTGTAGTATGTGAATAGGGAAATGCCGCGGGCGGCGCTCGTGCAGTAGAGCCTTCTCGGCCAAATATCTTACTTCTATCTAAACCGGAAGTCAGGTCATTGGAGATCTCGACAAGTTGGAACTTTTGATAGAACACAGGATAAAAGGTACATTTTCATTGGTACTGCTTAGGCACAGTTAACATTTTGTAAACTTTCCCTTTACCATAGCAATTATCACTTTTCTGGTAGTAGAGATTGCTCCTGCATTATTGCACAATGCTTAGTTTAGTTGCACCTGCTATGTAACCCTTGGGGCTGTAACCCTGGGGGATACAATGGTGCTGTAACCCTTCCGGTGCAGGGGCAGCCCCATTGCAAAGCTAGATTTTTGGTTTTCCTGAGGATAGGCTTTAACTACTGTCCTAATTATAAATATCAGCCACACAGGCAGCGCATTGCTTTTGATGTGTTGGGTGACTCACAGAGACTAATTTACTAAAGCATTTGGGAATAATTAAATAAACTGAGTGAAAAATTCACTTCAATGATCCAATCATATGAAAAGAAAATGTATGTTCACTTAATTCATGATTGCGCATTCAAATTGAAGAGGAATTTTCTTTTCACGTGATTGTATAATTGAAGTGAATGTTCACCCAATTTGTTCCGTGAAGATTTGTAACTCCTTAAGTAAACCAGCTTTATTGAGTTGCATTTCCAGGAGAAGGAGCAGTGCAATCATTGTGTAGAACTTAAAGGAGGGAAGCACAACCTGTATATTGAATGAGCACATGTGGCTTCCCCCTGGACATATAACATTCCAAATTGTTCATGGAAATAAGGTTTTAAAGTGTTAACACACGTAGGAGCTCATGTATAAAACTTCTGCCCTGGAGTTCTTTATGAAATGCTGCTCGGCTCCCTCTAGTGGCCATATGGCAGTGTGAACCGCATTTTATTTGTGTACCGTATATACTCGAGTATAAGCCGTCCCGAATATAAGCCGAGGTACCTAATTTTACCACAAAAAACTGGGAAAAAGTATTGACTCAGAGAGGGGCACTTTTCAGCAAAAAAAATGGGCTGAAAAACTCGGCTTATACTCGAGTATATACGGTACTTTAAAAAGACTTTACTTTCCTACAGAGCACATTCACACCAGCAGCTGCACTACAACACAAAGCTGCTGGTGCACGTTGCTCAAGAGAGTGCTGCTGATGCGCCAATCCCGGCATCAGAACTTCATTGAAATGTCACAAGTGACATTATGGCAGCCGCATCTGCCTGAAACCAGATCTTCCTCTGAGCTGCAGGCAGCCTGTGCCTGTTTGCAGGTGCCCGCAGCTCAGAGGAAGATCTGGGCTTCAGGCAGATGCAGAATCTGTGATTGCTCTTCCTCCTCCGGCTTCCTGACACCGTGCTTCCCGCCTTCAGACCCCTGGTAAGTCACCATAACCCAGGCGGCTCTGAGAGCCGCACAGCCCATCTGAAAGTAGCACAGCCCACCTGAAAGCCGAACAGCCCACCTGAGAGTCGCACAGCCCACCTGAGAGTCGCACAGCCCACCTGACAGTAGCAGAGCCCATCTGAGGGTCGCACAGCCCATCTGAGAGTCGCACAGCCCACCTGAGAGTCGGACAGCCCACCTGAGAGTCGGACAGCCCATCTGAGAGCCGCACAGCACACCTGAGTATCGCACAGCCCACCTGAGAGTCGGACAGCCCACCTCAGAGCCGCACAGCCCGCCTGAGAGCCGCACAGCCCACCTTAGTATCGCACAGCCCACCTGAGAGTCGGACAGCCCACCTGAGAGTCGGACAGCCCACCTGAGAGCCGTACAGCCCATCTGAGAGTTGCACAGCCCACCTGAGAGTCACACAGCCCATCTGAGAGCCGCAAAGCCCATCTAAGAGCCCACACAGGCCACCTAAAGACATCAGGGCGCCGACCCAGAACAACACAGAGTATTAGCTCATTTATATACTTATATATTATTTTGTATTGCTGTATAATGTATTGCTGAGATTTGTAGTCCTCTATATCTGGTCCCCTTACTCCCTCCTCTGGCTCCCTCTCCTCGCTCTCTTCTCTATATTCTCAATAACGATGCACCGATACCGATACTAGTATCTGAAGTGTGAATGGGGGAAGAGACAGACCGCTTGGTAGATCAGAGGCCTGATGTATGAACGTATGACCTGTAGAAAAGTGAGGTAACGTGGTGTGAAGAGAAGGGAGCTAAGGCAGGGCTTTGTTCAGACACCCAATCAATTGAGGAGAAGCTGATGCTGAACTCAGGGATATGCAAATATTGTCCTCATACAATAGCCATGAGTATGCTTCCTGGAATCTTGGTGAGCTTTGTGTATTTCTTCCAGATCTGTGCAGTGATCCAGTGGGACATTTGGAGCTTCCTGTAATAAAGACCGCTCACTGCTGCTCTCTCTCCTTGTGCAGTGTGACTGGTCTTCTCTTTGCCCCCTCCTGTAATAAAGACCGCTCACTGCTGCGCTCTCTCTCTACTTGTGCAGGGTGACTGGTCTTGTCTCCACCCCCTCCTGTAATAAAGACTGCTCACTGCTGCCCTCTCTCCTTGTGCAGGGTAACTGGTCTTGTCTCCGCCCCCCTCCTGTAAATTAAGGTTTTTGTGCTCAGGTTTCAATTTAAAAAAAAATTGTTTTTCCTTCACAGCTTTGGACAAGGACCTCTGGTCCAGGATCACTAAAAAGATCAGTCTGCAGCTTCTACATGTTTTAGAGCCTGGCTTTCCCCCAGTTTCAGCCACTCAACGCTGATCACTGGCCTTGATGTGCAGCAATGGTGAGAGCAGACATTGGATGGCATGAAGGCCTAATTGGTTGAGAAGATCTAATGTATGGGGCACCAGCTGAACCTATGGTCTCATGGGATGAAGCAATTGGGCATCTTGGAAAACCTTCTCTGATTGCTTTATATTTCCCCCTCCTCAGTTGGTGCTGGAAGTGCCTCCTGCTGCCCACCTCCCGCAACCTTCTCCATGAGCTAAGCACGAAGAGTCAAACAAGGCCACCATATTTGGGTACCTGACAACTGGCGAAGATGCCTTAGGGTAATGAGTTGATGCCCACACATCTGACTGACCCATGATATTATGATATTGACACCTATGGCTGTGAGGCTCTGAGGTTTGGCTGCCCTACGTCTCTGCCTACACAGTCTTTCCATGAATCTAGTCTTGCTCACGTATGAAGGACACACATGATAAGATCAGTCTCCGTGACACTTCATAGAGGAAGAAGAAAAGCTAAAGAAGATCTTGAGCTGACGTCTATTGAGAAACCGAAGGAGGAGTCGTATGCCCCACATCTGTACTGTCTATTATATTATAAGACGTCCCTATGGAATTATATTGCAGGAAGACTCTCCTCGGGGGGGCCAATTACATTTAGAGCATTCATTTTATAAGATACAACACAACATTTCAGCCCGTGCTTTGCGTAGGTCGGTAGAGTTTTTCAGTTTTCACGATTTTAAAGTTCTGCCTCACAAGTCAACTTCCTCTAGAGAAACCACACAGGAAACCTTAGTAGCTGAGCTCACCATCGCTGCTTGTCAGGCTCTCAGATCTGCAGACCTGGACCGTCTGACAGGACCCTGGGGTCTCTCCGATGACAGAGGTCCAGGAGAAGGCAGGAGGCCTACCAGGGACAAATTTGAGGGACGGCGTGCAAGACCTAGACAAGACCAGGCTTGGAGATGATGACAACACAGCTTTGAGAGGTCACACTCTTCGGGAAATCTCACACCACCAATATGGGGTCCCGTATTAAGTAAGAAACTGAACTTTGTTTATATCTCTTTCTGCAAGCGTTCACTCTTCGAGGTCTCCTTCTTGACCTTCTCCTGCATCTCTCTGCCTCGAACATGATCCACCATCTTCATGAGTGTGGAAAACGACACATTTAATTTGGGACTGCAAATTTAATTCCGGCATTGAGCACCATCTGGGATGCTAACTTGTGGTTGCAAGTGTTATTATTTGTCAGGCCTGTGATTTATTGTCATGTCTTCCTCTATCTGAGCTCAGTGCAGCCTTGCCAGTACAAGGTGCAGTGTAAGAGGGAGATTGCACGGCATTAGATTCAAGTAACAGGAGGCTGCAGTCACCATGACAAATATAAATATTATAATATAGAGAGGGGAATTTATCAAAACTGGAGCAGAGAAAATCTGGAGCAGCTGTGCACGGCAACCAATCAGCTTCTATCTTTCATTTTCAAAGCTTAACTGAAAAGACTGAAGAGAGAAGCTGATTGGTTGCCAAGGGCAACTGCTCCAGTTTTGATAAATTTCCCCCACAGTTGTCCGACTTAACACAGTTGCAGTGCACCCGCTTGCATACTAGCAACCAGTGACGCTTTACGGCCCAGTCATTATAGCCCACGCAACCAATGACACTGTGTGACCCAGCCACTAGAGCCCTAGCAACCAATGACATTGTGTGGCCCAGTCACTAAGGCCCTAGCAACCAATGACACTGTGTGACCCAGCAACTAGAGCCCTAGCAACCAATGATATTATGTGACCCAGCCACTAGAGCCCTAGCAACCAATGACATTGTATGACCCAGCCACTATGGCCCTAGCAACCAATTACATTGTATGGCAGAGCCACTAGAGCCCTAGCAACCAATGGCATTGTGTGGCCCAGCCACTCGAGCCCTAGCAACCAATGACATTGTGTGGCCCAGCCACTAACATCCCAGCAACCAATGATGCTGGGCAGCCCATTCACTAGCATCCTAGCAACTAAGGTTTCAATGTGCCAAATCGCCCGCCTATTCTTCAAACAGGTTGGGTTCAGGTCACACTCATGGTCAACCTGAAGCCAAAGCTCATCCCTAGAAATAAGCAGTGTGAGCCAGTCATTGCACAAACTGTACCAGGTATAGTAAGATATTGGTCAGAGTTTGGGTCCGGCAGGTGGTTGTAGTGTGGAAATGTAACTGGAGCAGTGGGCAAAGATACACAAGCAGTGTGAGCCAATCACTACACAAATTGTACCCTTTGGGGAACTGAAGCACCAATAATAGCACTGAAATTCAGATTCAGAAATCCAACACCACACAAGTTTCAGGATCAACTCTAATCACTACTAGTGATGAGGATGGGCTTGGTGTCAACTCAGTTTGAGTCTGCCCAAGCCCGATCAAAACTCTGACCTCCACCCCCTCCTGCCAACCCAATCAGTTGTAGAAAGGTGCAATCCCCGTCCCAGAGCTATACCAGAGCTTACAAGGGGAAGGGAATGCCCCCACCGCATCTGTTTGCACGGATTGGATGGGAGCGGGGTAGTGATAGTTTTGAGCAGGTTTTGGTGAACTCACAGGAGTCCACACCTAGCCCAGCCTCATCTTCCACTTCTTCATCTTCCTTCTACAGCACCATTAGGGAGCCATTTGTTCCGTCTGTGCTGCCATCAATGGCTTCATTTATCACTAATCCCCAGCCATTTTATTAAGGCCATTGAGGTAATACTTGCTCCGAGTCAGATGGTACTGAAGTCATTGGATCAGCATGACGAGAAATAAGTATATTTAGAAGTAGAGATCTGCAATGGCAGACCCCGGTACTCCCACCCTACAACACACATACCACCGAACTCCAACCAGGATATCGTTTTTATCTTTGAATACAGCAGGGGAAGAGTTTCTGCATAGTTTTTATTTCTGTCGGTGACCCTGACGAGGAGATTTTTTCCCCTTGCGCTGTCTCTGTGACACCCGGACAAGAAATTGTGGGTGAGGTTGTCACCAGCGCAGGACGATGCAAACAGTGATACAGATATTATCAGACATTCTAAGCCTTCCTCGCGCCGCTAAAAATGGGCTTTGTATTTGTTTGTGCCCCCATTGGGGAGATTTCTCTTAATTTCCTGTCCTCTCCAACAGGGACACCCATGCTGGGCGTGTAACCCCTCTAAGGGGGTTCTGAACGACGAGAGGCGGAGGCGGGCTTCCCGATCATGTGATCGCTGTGATTGGCAGCAGACTGATCACTGGGGGAGGGGAGACTGAGCAAATGTTTCCTCCTGCCTGCAGCAGACTGATCACTGGGGATAGGAGACTGAGGAGATGCTTCCTCCTGCCTGCAGCAGACTGATCACTGGGGGAGAGGACACTGAGGAAATGCAGACTGATGCCATCATATCTGCCTAGGCAAAGTCACTGACTGGAACTCAAGGATGGGGTCTTAATGATAAAAGATGGAGCAATTACAGTATAGCATGACATGTCAGGAATCTATTCATGCCAGTGGCGTCACAAGGGAGGTGCGGCCCGCACCCGGGTGACACCATTGGAGGGGTGACACCAAAATGACTGACAGTCGGGCACTCGGTCATGTACCGAGCGCCCGAGAGAGGAGGGGACCCGGTGGCATACCTTATCCCGCCGGGTGACTGTCCCCTCCTCTCTTTGTCGGCGTCCATCACCAAGATGGTCTCCGGCAGGTATCATTAAGATCGCCGCGCATGCGGTCACCCAGTAACCGCTCCGGGTGACACCCGGCCTCGGGACGCCCCTGATTCATGCAGCCTGGTAAAGTTACTCTTTGCTATCGTTCTTTTTGCTGTCGTAACGAATGCAGTAAATGTTTATTACTTCATTGCAGGGAGAGCCCAGAACGGATCTTTGAAGGATATTTTGAGGTTCTGCGCCCCACCGACTCAGATAAAGGTAAATAGTTACCCCTCTCTTTATTTACCTTCCTATATAACTGCTGTTTATTATAGTTCTTACTGTTACTTTAACTACTTCACTACCGGAGCCATTTTTACAGTTTTTACACACGTTAAAATCTGCATTGTTGGCTGAAAAATTACTTAAAACCCCCAAAACAGTATTTATTATTATCATCATTATTATTATTATTATTGTTGTTATTATTATTATTATTATCATTATTATCATCATTATTATTATTATTGTTGTTATTATTATTATTATTATCATTATTATTATTATCATCATTATTATCATTATTATTGTTGTTATTATTATCATTATTATTATTGTTGTTATTATTATTATTGTTGTTATTATCATCATCATCATCATCATCATCATTATTATTGTTCTTATTATTATATAAATTCATATTTATAATTTTTGAATATAAACCTTATTTTTTATATATATAATATGCAAGAGCGCTGTAGAATAAAAAGGTAGTTGCAGGTTTTTATGTTGCACAATATTTGCGCAAATGTTTATCACATGTATATTTTTAGTAAAAATACTCTAAATAGAATTTCATTGCACAGTGATATCATTTTCAGTGCAGTTCAGTGATAAAATTCCCATGTTTTTATTTTTTTCCACAAAATAAAAGATGAGGTCGTGTTGAGTAAAGAGATAACAGATCTGTTGAGCCTCAAAAATTGCGTGTACGCAAAAATTATCAGTAGGCAACACTTTAAATGCTCATCAGTTGGAAGTAAATTATATATCAGGGACCTAGTAAAAAAATGATCTCACTCACTTTAGCCTACGTGGCAACTTCCATTATGTACGGCACAATCGTCATTTTCGTACACGTGCACACCCTATGTTCACATGTGTGTTAATACCGTGTTTCCCCGAAAATAAGACACTGTCTTATTTTTTCTTTTTCATGAAAAAAGACACTAGGTCTTATTTTCGGGGGATGTCTTACCTGGCTGCAGCTGTATAGGTCTTATTTTCGGGGTAGGTCTTATATTACAGAAATCCCCGAAGATAGTCTTACTTTCGGGGAAACATGGTATGCATGCGCACAGGGCAACAGGGGTGCTTTAACATTTTTGTTTTACCTTTATTTTATTTTTGTTTTTCCCCCCCCTTAACTTTATTGCCATCACATGGGGGCTTACAGGCATAGGGCAAGTGACAGGTACTCTTTATGGAGACATCAGGGATCGATTAGACCCCTAATGTCTTTCCTGCCTCCTGCACAGACTGCGCTTGTTCTGTTGTTTACCTGGATCTGACGGTTCTGAACCTGGAAGTGCTCAGCTCTGAGCACACATTGGAGAGGACATTGGGGCACCGATGTTCCTCAGTATCTTTCCGCTCACCATCCTGACAATCTTTGTTGATGTCCCGCACCTTCTTGCTGCTCTTGGGAGAGATGAGCTTATAATTGTTCTGCTTCACTGTCCAGTCACGGGCTTAGGGTTGCCACCTTTTCTTCAAGCGAAACCCGAACACTCTAGTGACGCCCGGACATTTTTTGGGGAGATTGAGTCACGCCTTATTCTTATGTAAACATCACAGTTGATACTATTTTCAGTTGGGGGCCAGTAGTCCCTATCTTAAAGCTGGTTGCCCCTGTGTGCCTGACATCTTGTGTCCGGGTTTCTGCTACCATGAAACCTGAACACAGCATTCAAAACCTGGACTGTCCGGGTGAATCCCTACACGGGCTGGGCAGCAGGTCATTATAGCCTGGCAGGAAATAAATACTGTCTATTTTCTATGCCGGCTCAACCCCATCATAAGTGTCCTCGGGCAGGCTTGTAATGCTCATGTAGAGAGGGGGCATGTGTACACAGGTCTGATAGATCACATAGTGCACCGGGCAGTGTGGTCACACTTTATATGAGTCATATGTAGACACCCAGCACCAGTGGTGTCTCAAGGGGGAGGGGGTACGGCCCGCACCCGGGTGTCACCATTGGAGGGGTGACACCAAAATGACTGACAGTCATTTTGGTGTCATACCCTCTAAAAAGTCGGGCACTCGATCATGGACTGGGAGCCCGACAGTGTCAGAAGAAAGGAGGTGACCCAGCGGCATACCTCATCCCGCCGAGTGAACGTTCCCTTCCTCTCTCTGCCGGTGTCCATCACCAAGATGGCCGCTGGCAGGCATCAATGAGATGACCGCGCATGCGCGATGACGTCCTCGCACACACGCACGTGGTAACGTCATGGCGGGGTGTCACCTGGCCTCTGCTCCGGGTGACACCCGGCCTCCGAACACCCCTGCCCAGCACAACTACTATAACCGTAAAGTGGAAGGACAGCTATGAAAATGGAGGTTGTTAGAACAATGTCTATCTGGCAAATACCTTTCTATGTGACTTCATTTGGTAATTCATGTTTATTAGATGTCTGCGTAGAGTCCCAGATAGCAAGCAATTGAGCTGCAAGTTTGAAGATGACTTGCTAAACTATTCCAGACTTGCCGAGCTTCACAATTTTGTTGTACAATTACAGCAAGTCTGCATTGCAAGTCTCCAGACCTGCGAGCTTGCAGAGCTCTTGCTAAGACCTGCAGGACTCTTGCTGTAGACTTTTGCTACAAATTCAAAAAGTGTCAACTAGAACTTGTGCTGCGAGTGTTCTGCAAGTCTACAACTTGCCAGGAATGTGTGCAGCAAGTTAACAAGAATTACAATTTCACCCTGGCACAAGTTTGTAGCAAGTTGTCCTTGCTATCTGGGGTTCAGCTCTAACATTAGGTTGTCTCACTTCTGATCATCTCGGACATAGTCACCTTCATGGAGTTGTGCACGGTCATCCAGTTCCCGTCACCTATATAGTAAAGTAGCACCAATACGGCCTAAACATACAAAGTCCAGAACACCACCGGCAGTATATACGAAAGGCATACAAGTTCAATGAAGGGGATTTACCAAAACTGAGCAGACAAAATCTGGAACACCTGTGCACAGCAACCAATCAGCTTCTCTCATATTCAAATCATAACTGAACAAACTGAAGAGAGAAGCTGATTGGTTGCAACTGCTCCAGATTTTGTCTGCTCCAGTTCTGATAAATCCCCCCCCCCCATGAGTTTCTCTTTCTTAGTTTTACTACTTGCAGTTTCCTCTTTAATATATATTTGTATGTCACATCTTATCAGCTGATAGACTTTAGTGACTAGTACCTTGAAGTACTGGAGGCCAGAGCTGTATTTGTAATGTCAGCGAGCCAGTTCGAGGTGCTGGTAGGAGGTCTCTGGATATCATGATGGGAGTGGTGGAAGATCTTGCGTCTGGAGTCACAGACAGCAGTGGGGGTGATAAAATTCATAGACATTGTTCTGACAACCTCCATTTTCATAGCTGTCCCTCCACTTTCCGGCTTTATCTTCTTGTTTTTAGTCATTTCAGCAGCCTTTAAAATCAACAGGCATCATCGCTGCCCTTATATGGTCACATGGCTATATTTTGTCAATGAGATCGACCTAATATGGTCCATGTGGCCACCAACATCCTGCCTCCTTGTTTCTGCAACTACTCATTTAAAATCAACGGGAATCAGCATTGACCTTATATGGTCCATTGGCCAATTTAGTTCAATGTCATTGACCAAATATTGCCATGTGACCATATAAGGTCAATGATGTCATCAGTGTCTCACCTCTTTATTTGTGCAGGTTCTCCTTTAAAATCAGCAGGGATCAACCATTGACCTTATATGGTCACATGGCTATATTTTGTCAATGAGTTCGACCTAATATGGTCCATGTGGCCACCAACATCCCGCCTCTTTGTTGTCAACGGGAATCATCATTGACCTTATATGGCCACAAGGCCAATTTAGGTCAATGACATTGACTAAATATGGTCACGTGGTCACCTAATGTCAATGATGTCACCAGCATCCCCCTCTTTGTTTCTGTGGTGTGCCCCAGTTGGCTCAGCACTGACAGCTCCCTTCCAGATTTGGTCCGAACCCAAAATCATCCATAAAAATCAATATTCTGCCTTTTAACATGTTTGTAAAGCCATTTTATTTTACCTTTATATAGAACGGTGAAGAGTTGGAGCCCGAGCTAGGTCGGTATCACTATGTGCGTCTCTGCTGGGGAGGTTCTCTCTCTAAGATCGTCCTGGTGACCCCAGATAGAAAGCCAACAATCTGAGTTGTCACCAGAACAGGAATAGAGGGAAAACATCTTTGAGTGGCGACACTTGTTTTAATGACAGCTATCTAAGAGGGATTTCACTCACTTTGGAGAGATTTCCTCTTACTTCCTGTTGTGTCTACAGGACAGGAAGTAAAGAGAAATCCCCCCTCCCTCCCCAGGGGTCACAAATGGAAAAAAAAAACTGACAGGAGGTTAAAGCTGAAGTTTTATATTTGTTCAAAAAAACACAACTAGTATAAATACAGGCTGGACTTTTAATACCCCCCCC